AAACTATGGCTACTCCGCAACTCCTCTGCGTTTCACCTCCTACCGCCAGTTCACTCTCCGAGCTTGTTCTCTCAACGCTTACTGGGCGCGCAGTCCATATATCTCAGATCCGACCATCCGATCCCATCCATATGGGCCTTGCCCCCCATGAAATCTCCTTTTTACGACTCTTGGAAGCTGTTACCAATGGCTCACATATGGAGATTTCCTACACTGGTACCATCGTCCTCTATAAACCTGGTCTCATAACCGGGAGTGCCCCCGGCTCCGGCGCAAGTGGAGGTGTCATAAAACATGAGATCCCTTCCAACTGTAGTCGTGGCATTAGTTATTTTTTACTTCCAATGTGCCTCCTTGCGCCATTCTCCAAAGCCCCGTTTAACATCCTCTTCACCGGTCCTGGTGTCATCACCTCCTCCACTCCAACTGGCGATATGTCTGTGGACAGTGTGCGGACTGCTATCCTTCCGTTATTTGCTCAATTTGGCATTTTCAACAACATAGAGTTGCGTGTATTAAAAAGATCAAACCCAGGGCCCAACGGAAAAGGAGGGGGAGGAGAGGTTCAGTTGGTGTTTGGTCATCAAGTTCGACTTCCGAAGACGATTCACTTGTTGAACCCTGGCAGAATTAAAAAAATACGTGGTGTGGCATATGCCATAGGGTTATCAGGATCCCATAACGCCAGGATGATCGAAGTTGCGAGGGGCGTTCTGAACCCTCTTTGTCCTGATACCTACGTATTTTCAGACGTCTCCTCAGCGCCTTTAGTCGCTGCACCGACTAGAGATAACCCTTCCAACAAAAAGAAAATTGGGCTTGGCTTTGGACTGTCTTTGGTAGCCGAATCGTCCACTGGTTGCTTATTCTCCGCGGATGTGGCGTCGTTACCCACTGGCGGCAAGCCGCCAGAGGACATCAGCAAACGGTGTGCGTACCAGCTCCTAGAGTCCATCTCAGTGGGTGGATGTGTCTCGAGAGCTGCTGCTCCAACGATGATAACGCTGATGGCGATGGGTTCTGAAGATGTGGGAAGACTACAAGTCGGAAGAGATGTCATCGCAGACGAGTCCATGATCCAGTTTGCCAGGGACCTCAATAAATTCGGTACTCCTGGATGGGGAATTAGGGATGCACCTGGAGAAAGTGATTCGGGGGACGTCATCATTAGTGTAGTTGGGAGGGGAATAGGCAACGTTGGGCGAAAGATTGCTTGATCAACTCGTCTCGGATGAAACAGGTGGCTCTTTGCGGCCTCTCTCTCGCCTTTTGAACTTAGCCGGACTGTGCGGGGCGTTCTGGTAGGAAACATGCTCATCGGGCTACATGTTAGATCCATACCACAGGATGGCGCATCTCGCGGATCTCACAGCAGCGCTTCTGACGAATTTGGTCAAAAGAAACAACCATCCCGCTGGTCGATTTTGCCTAAGGAACACAGCGCTGTCACAACCTCGCGAAGCCCGAGGACGGCTCACGAACCGATAGTCATCAGTTCTATTCATATATCGTCCACGCAACGTTGGATTTAATACAAACCGTCCGGGCCTTAAAACTAGGCCTTGCGCCTCCTGGATCTTTCAGATGGAATGAAGTACCTTAAGAAGGATATGTGAAAGACGGCAAGTACGATATGGCCATCGCACCTTCTCCTTGATCGAATGACATATCCATCCAGAAATTTATATGGAAGTAGCGACTACAAGGCTTGTGGCTGCTGTTTAATCCTTCCTATCGAGCTTGACACTTCCTTCAAACATCTCCTCATTTCTCTTATTAATCAACTTCACTTTATTCTCGTTTGCTGTATATATTTCCTCTCTAATGCCATCCGCTGGAGCCCCAGATACCAAGTCAGTCTTGCTTAAATCCGCTCTGCCGCTATTCGTTGGCTTCTCAATCAAGTACTATCGAGGTGCATGGATGACCTAGCGAGAGATTTGGAAACCTTGGAATGAACCTAAATTCATACCGAATGAGCCCCTTTCGTCTCTGTTCGTAACGAAAACGCAGTTCATTCGCAGATTCTACTATAGTCCTTGCCTCCTACAGTAGTCGCAGATGCTCAAGCCACTTTGGTTAGTGGATGCATGTGTCTTTCCACTACTTCTGCGGCCCAATTGCATAGCTCCTCCATCTAGTTCTGCTCTGATGAGCTCATTATACTATATAAACTTTTTTCCTATGGCAGCCGCACCGATTATGGTTAACAGTTGCGGCCGTTATACCCCAAATGTTCACCTTAAGACGAAAGCTCTATACTGTTTTCCTTACTGCTTTCCTTCGCGCTTCCTACGTTATGTTTCCCGAAAATCCCCCTTTTCCCTTTCTCAACAGCCGTAACGTTCTTATAAATATACCCGTATGTGTTTCATAATCTACCTGCGCTATATGCAGGATTTCACCCCGCTCAAGCACTCTACATTCTCTTTTACAGCCTTATAAAATTTGTAGTCATTTACTTATTCACATGCTGTCATGTCATACAATAAAATGTGCACCACGGGCCACACTACAGAGAGGAAAGGGAGATGCACATCAGCAATCGTCTCCAGGAAGCAAAAGATGCAGAAACACTTCGGTCCACTTTTGGTGAAGTTGTATATTGGAATTACATCTAAATTCATCGAGCAGCTCGCGAAGCTATAGCTGCAAATAAATAAATAAATAAATAAATAAATAAAATAAAATCAAAAAAAAAAAAAAAAAAAATTATTCGGTGGTATTGGTGAGCAGTTGCGTTACGTGTGTACCTCATGGCCTTCATGAGAAGCGAGAGTTACGACCGCGGGTTTCAATGGTGCTTTCTAAGGCTTCTGAGCGTTAGCCACCTGTTTATAAAAATACCGATACTTACGTGCAAGCAATCGGGCAGTGATGCAAGTTGATCTCTCAAACAGACTAGGCATCTTATCGAACTACCTGGCAAACAAAGACGTGAACCACCTTCTGCCCGCCACGGCCACGCGACATATTCGAACGTCACTCCAGGGATCCAACTACAGACATGGTTACCAAATCTAAGGAAGTCGGGCTATTTGGAGACATCGTTCATTCCTCCTAAATTTCATGTTCCAGTAGATTGATCAGTCGATGTTACAAGACTCTTTGGAGGAACCAAAACTGCAAATCAACAGCTCGTAACCTGAACTACTGATTTGATTTTTTTTAAATATAGTTTTCAAATGTATCTATTATCTATCAACAAAAACACTTATATACCTTTTAAAGGTGCATAGTTCTCTTCTAAGCTTGTAGTTCATGAAACCATCTATCTATTCATTGATAATTAATTGGCTTGAAATGTGACAGAAGACGGATTTTCGATGCCTGGGATGAAAAGTTCATGTACGACGAAAACTCAGCTTTTTTTAAAAAAAACGAACTATAAAAGAGAAACAGGATCGATAAACAATTGATAGCAACTGCCAGAAACCATAATAATAATAACAATAAATAACAGTCCCCGTAAGCATTAATAAATGGGCATTATGACCTCGATAGCTTGTGTAAAGGGAAAGAAGAAAAAGAAGCAAAAAACGACTTTACTTACACATAAATAAGCTCAGAAAATAAGAGAGAGAGAGAGAGGGAGAGGGAGAGAGATGAAAAAAAATTGAACAAGCATGAAGAAGCGCAACAGCCCAGTACATATAAACAAAAATAAAACCTGCCTCCAAATTATCCCTATTTTCCCTCAGCAGAATGTAGTTTTGTGTTTGCAAGAACAAACAGGAAAGAAAGAAAGGAAAGGAAAGGAAAGCAGCTGCTAAAGATATAAATAACTATATAAAAAAGAGTAGAAAATGAGGACAAGGGGAAAAAAAAAATAAAAATAAAAATAAAGAGACCTGAGGCATATTTTTATGAACTCACTCCTCCCTCCTCTCAGATTTCCCTCTTTGTTATTTTTCCTGTCCATTGCCTTTTCTTTTCTTCTCAGCCCAGATCATCCATTCAGAGCAGCAGCTTCTCTCCTGTTTGGGGAGGGGTGGCGGAACTGCCTAGATGTTAGTTTTTTTTTTATTTGTTTGCCTTCTCACAAACCAACCAACCAACCCAATCAAGCAAAGCAAAGAAATTGCCCCCTGACCCTGCCACTAGGCCGCAGGCAGGGCCTGCGCGTTATGATTCCCCTCCTTGTTTTTCTTCCTTTCCCGGTCAGTTTTGGTAGTCTCGTTGGGTTTATTCCTGCCTTATTGCCTGCCTGTTGGGTATGCATATGAAGTCCTTGGCCCAGTACCCCTCCCCTACCTCCCCAAACATCCATCGTCTCCATGTAATTCCCTCGCACTGCCGCGACCAGGCAAAGGCATTCCCTAATGTGATTGAAGAGAGATGGAGGGAGAGCTTTTTATGGAAAAGAAAAAGAAAAGACATAATAGTAAACAACAGAAATAGAAGAAGGCAATAGCCATGAGAAAAATAAAACAAAAAAGGAAACCTCGAAAAGGGGGGTTTCAAGATCAGGCACACATACACACACGCAGACGCAGACAAATTTAAAACACACACAAAAAAGAGACAGTTACAGAATAGACACAAGAAAAATATATTTAATATAATAAGAAAAGCAAAATAGAACAGGGCAAACGAATATCAGACGGGAGGAACAAGTGATATCTTAGACCTCCATAGCCTCCGCTTCTCCTTTGGCAAGAAGCGATCCTGACTTCTCACCGTCCGCCGGAGTCTTGACCTCTGGGGCATCTGGCATGATCTCATCTTCATCCGCCTGGGTAGTAGCACCAACAGCAGCGCCGTCATTCGCATCAGTCGCATCTTCCATCTTCTGCCCATTGACCTGCTTGTGGCCATTTGCCTTTGCCTTAGGCTTCGGCTCCTGTTCTTCCTTCTCCCTTGCGGGGGGGATATCGGAATCCAGTAGGGTTGTCCATTTATTGAGGATGTTGATGGAGCGGCGGCGGAAGTTGAATTCCTCGTCCTTGGGGATCGAGTTTAGTTTGATGATGGCCTTCAGGACTTTGTTGATCTTGGTTGTGCGGATGATGCTGACTTCAAGATCGGCATACGACTCCAGTTTTTGGATGAAATTAGACATTGAAGCCATTTCCTCCGCCTTGGGTGCCTGGTCACGTGTGAGGAACCCTTTTTGGAGTTTGTGGCGAAGATACAAAACTGGTTGGAATCAAGTCAGTACAGCTCGCTATCACTGCAAACGTGCCAGAAATGGAGTAAAGAGGAGAAAATAGAGAAAAAATAATCGGAGATATCAATGATCGTAGATAAAATTTGTTACCTTCTTTCTCCTTCTTTAGCTTGGCTTCCTGCGGATTAAGCGGCTTTTCAACTTCGCTCTCCTTTGAAACTTCAGCGGTATCTCCATCACTTGTTGCCTTGGCTTCCTTTTTTGCCTTTTTGGCACTGGTGACCTTCGTTTTGGCTGGTTTTGCGGAAGTTTTCTTTCCTGACTCACCGGTCGCTGGAGTCTTGGGCGTGGTCAACTTTAGTTTGGTGGCAGTTTTGGGGGTCTTTGCGGGCTGTGATGTGTGCGACCAGAAACAAAACGAATCCCCGTTAGCCAATGTGTCCTTTCCACCAAAGTACTACCCAAAAGTGGCGCCCGAAGGAGTGCGATCGAGAATCACAGCTCCACAAAATTTCTGGCATATCCACTTACCTTGTCGCTCTCAGCATCGCTCTCAACGTCCTTCTTCCGTTTCTTCGTGCTCTTTCGTTTCTCGGTTCCAACATCCGCTGTCTCATCTTCTTGCTCATCAGTCACATCCATGCTCTTCCGCTTTTTCTTCTCTTGCTTAGCAGCCTTTGCTGCCGCGCGAGCTTCACGTTCCTCCTGGTCTTGCTCTAACGCCCGCTGATGGTCCGCAAGCATATCTTTAAAATATTGAAGATCATGGTTCTCGGCGGCTACACGATAAGCTTCAACCAGGCTCTTCGTTTTTCCTTTTTCGTTCACATCTTTGCAGGACTCTGGGTCGAGAGGCGTTAGGTCGGTATTTGGAATCCAAGCACTGGAAATAGATCAATTTCTGTCAGCTCGAGCCCTCAACATTTCTAATATGACGACCCCAACGTGCAAGGTGGAAAAACGGCCGAGCGCATTGATTTCAGACGCGAACGTCAGGGAGAAATCATGTCCCTGAAAAAAAAAAAAAAAAAAAAAAAGTCAGTGAAAGAAAAGCGAAAGCTTCACTTACAATTCATTCGTGTACAAGAACATAATTGGAAACGTTCGCTCATGCACACGTTTGCCGCCGTCACTGTAAGCCTCCTTGTATGTACCGTCTTTCTGTTTCGTAGTAACCGGGCGCGTCGACAAAAGAGAAGGTGGGAGCATCTCCTCATCACATATTATCGACGGCCAGGGCGCATAGCTTTTCAGACGAGCAGTGTAGTATTCTCCTGGCTTGGCATCCAGGTGTGTAATTCGAGCTGCAGACTTTTTCTTGTTCAATTTTTTCCCCTTGCTGTCAACGCCTCCTGTCGATTTGCGTTTTCCGTTACTGGATTTTTTGGAAGCAGATGGGGTTCCGTTGGCGCCATCTCCGGTGGGGGCAGCAACTTCAGCTGTCTCTTCTACCGCAACGCCGCTCTCATCCGTCTCTTGCTCTTGTGTTCCGGCAGGCGGCTCGGGCTTGGCAGCCTCTGTAACAGGGGATTCAGGATTTTCAGAAGCGGTGGCTTTCGTCCCTTACAAATAGTGGATAGGTCAGTCGAAGAAGAAAGGCACAGAAGAAAAAAAACAAGTAAATTCTTCCCCCCCGCCTCAAAAAAATATAATCATAAATAAAATAGGGGAAAGGAATTCACGTGCGACGGGAGGCGTAGCATTGAGTACCCACCAGCCAACGCGTTTTCAGGCTTTACATCGGCCTGTTCATCTCTCTCTGTATGTGGGGATGTAGAAGCATTTGGAGCAGCATCTGCGGATGGCGTGTTTCGAGGGACCGAATTGATTCGCGATGCGGCGGGGTTTGCATCCTCGGCCATGGCGACAGCTTTGGCACGACAAGAAAAACAGGAGAACAGGGGAATAGGAGCTCTGGAAAGAAAAGCGACGATGGCCAGGCGGAGGGGTGGTCGAGGGGTGGATTGGGCGGAGTCGATGGATGGAGGTTGAGAGAGAAAGTTGTGTGTTTGGGATTTGGAGTTGGCGGTGGATAAGATTATTCCTTGGGTGCGCGAAGACCGTGGCGTGAGACAAGAAACGCGTGTGTGGAAAGAGCCGGGCGAGGCTCGGGAGAATCCAGCACCAGCACCAAGCACCACAACAAGAAGAGGATGTGCGGGATCGTAGAGACAGCAGTCTGCTTCTCCAGACAGTCGATTTGAGGGTATTGAAAAGGGGGGCCCTCTCAATTTCAAGGGGGTTTCGCCCTTTTTCCGCACAGCTTTGAGGTAAACTCTCTCACTGTGCCTGGTATTCACACCACAATGGGCGGATGAATGGAGGGGCTTCACAGCTTCTCTCCCTCGTAGTCCCTTTCACAGGCACAATGACTCATTCAGAATAAAATCAAATTACAGGTAGACAGAAAGGAATGCTTTTTTCTTTCTTTTTCTTTTTTTTTTCCCCCTTTGGTTTGAAAGATCCAAGAGTATGAGTAACGACAAGAGAGAAACTAGCGCAAGAAATCCCGTAAGAAGATAAGTTAATATCTTCCTTTTCTGCTGACTTCAAAAGCTCAGGGGTGTCAATATAGAACCATAGTACGGTAATAGCAACCGTAGAGAAATCCAGATTAACTGATCAAAAAAGGGTGAGCTGATATTCCCTATCAAGGCCGGCCACCAGCCAGAGGAACCAGTCGAGAAAGATGGGGATGGGATGAGCTGAGTCTGGCGAGATGTGAAACGAGGCAGGAGGAAGACCCAGAGCTCTCCCTGGGTCGACCATCAACTCTTATTTTCCTCGTCAGGCAACCTCATATAAATGCATCCCTTTTGTACTCCCAGTCACCTCTTCTATATTTTCGTATATGTATATATATAACAATAATAACTCACCAGTTGGTTGCATAACTCATTAATTATATGGTAACCAAGTTAACCTGTCTGTAATACAAAAATTGCTGTGAAAAAAGGGGTTCGTGGCATTTTCCATCAGAGGACGTGCGAATACAGCCCAGAGACAGAGCCTTTTGAGTTTTTTATTTTTTGCTTTTTTGCTTTTTGTTTTTTTGTTTTCCTTCAAACCATATCGAGAAGCGCCGAAGACAGGCCACACATATTTAGGTGAGTGAACTAACAACGGGAGTACTCCGTAAATAGTAACTATATAATTTCGCCTTGGGCTTCCATCCATCCACCTTTCTCCATTCCAGCGTCTCTTCCCTTCTCTATTTTTTTTTCTTTTCTTTTCTTTCTTTTTCTTTCCTCGTTCTGCCCCTTTCTCTGCATGTATGACAATATCCACGCGTTGAAACGCAGCCGATACCATGGAGGTAGACGGAGAATCCTCCACTTCCCCCAACCTCCCATCCAACCACCTATCCACCCATTCACGCTCACCCCCAGCCTCTCCGGCGGTGTCCTACGTGCGTATTTCGTCCCACAGACCGTTTCCCTATCCCATGTGGGCTAGGCGTGGAGGTCATCGACCAGGTCACCACCAGGCCGTTTCCTGGTGCTGGCAGAGCATACTCTTCTCTTTTTGCTCCATTTTCCGCTAGGTTTTTTAGTAGTACCGCAGAGCGAAGCAGCATTCTTCTGGAGGAGGCGGGCGGGCTGGTTGTTTTTCTTTTTTATCCTCATATTTTGTGCTCAAGAGGAGGAAGCGAGGTCGTGAGATATATACACTCACCCCCGCTTTTCTTTCCCGGAGACAGAATTGTGATTTCAAAAGAAAAGAGAAAAAAGAATCCATTATTAATCCTCCCCTTCTCATTTTGAGGAACGAACACGTCCATTTGAAAAAAAGAAAACAGAAAAAAGGTACTAACAAGTGGGTGCGGTATCATATCCTAAGACTAAAGAAATATTGTCCATAACATCAGTCGGGCCCGTGGAAATCAACCTCGAAAATCAGAAAGGGATTGGAGGAGTGTCCAGATGATTATATCAGCATTGAAGAAGCGACTGTTGTTTTATGGTAACATATATATATCTTTATCATGACCAACGAATTTCTCACACACCAGACAATCTGCCGAACCCGGCAAGGTAACCAGAGTAAAAACTCTACCGTAGTTCGGATCTCATATCCAGTCGAATTTGATATATAAAAGGTCGGGACTAAGAAGCAAAATGCGTAAGATAGAAGGACTGGGAGCCGGTGCATGATTTTATCATTCATCGCATCCAGGCTTGGCCTTCACCAGAATCATCGAAAAAAAGCAAAGGGCGGAAACCTATAGGCACTTGTTCCGGTTTATGAATCCGCAATATCCAAAAAAAATAATAATCCTCCAGCGGAAGGAAATTTAAAAGAACAGAATTTCCCCACCACCCTAGCCCGCAAATAATCGCGCCAGCAAAAGCATCGAGGATAAAATGGTTGGCGGTTGCGATTATAGCAGCAAGAATGGTAAACGGGTAGGTTATCCCGAAGACAATACATACGATGCGATGCCATGGTAGGCGGAGGGGATTGGGGGAGAGTCTAGGATGAGAATAGTTGAGAAAAAGTGGGCGTAAGGTTTGGGATAGATGGTGCTGAGAAGGAAGTGGAAATGTTGTTATAGTGACACCAATCATCAACGAATATCCAAAATGCAAAGATGGCATGGCAGCTACAGAAAGTAAGGAGATCATATCATCAGCAGGAAATACCGTATGGGTATAAAATGGTCGCGGGTTGTGAAACTGACCATATTGATTGCAGAATCTGTTCTACGTCCAAACACTGCTTGCGCCACCAGCCCCGTGAATTGTGTCAACAAAACCATAGCTCCTTGAAAGCTCGCCTACCGGACCGACCACTGACCGATCACTTAAAAGTCGAGGTGGCATACACGGCCACAGAGTGAAAACTACAAAGGCGAGCAGGTTACAAAGTGCTAGCGTTCGCCTGCGCGCTTGATACAGTTCTGAGACTTTCCGGACTCTGCTTGGACAGCCAATACACTTCACGGAATGACGGCTTTCGGGATAATTGTTCGTGTTGGTATTGTAGTAGAGCAAAACGAGGAAGGCAATTGTTCCAGGTATATGGATGAAAGAGTAGAGCCGATTTGTCCAAGCCATTAAGATTGGGCGGCGGAGGAAATAATGTTGTATATGTGCCTCCCACAAGATGTAGAAGCTTTCCTCCAGTTGTAGAAGCTGTAGTGCATGTTTCGTGCAACGTCTACAGTTGCATCTTTGAGAGTAACTGCGGTGAAGACCCGTGCAATTTGATATATCTGTATATACAGTCAGCATAAACACATAGACAGAATTTCGTCTCAAGTCATTGTAACTCGTATAAAGGGCACATACCCAATACACTAAGGTCCAATACCAGCATTCCACCAAAAAAGGGAATCTCCGAAAAAATCTGCTGAAGCGTCGATTGCGAAATTTTGTTGTATTTGGTGTGATAATTTCTCCTTTCCACAGCCACAGCCCAATTCGTCTAATTCTCCATGGCCGTTCTTGATTCAAAAGCAAAGATGGGGATAAGGAACGATTAAGTGGGACTTGACAACGACCCATCATCTGTCCTGGCAGTGGTGGATGGATTGTCCTCAGCGTTGTCCATTATTTTATCCGTTAAGCCATCACTTGATACCGAGCTAAATCGTGTTGTATCGGGGGTATATGGACAGGATACATTTGACAATCGGTTGATCCATGTTCCCCCCAGCAGCAGAGTAACAACCACCAATGGCTCCAAAAGGAGTCCAATCCCCTTCCCTTAAACGAAGAGATTAAATATACAAAAAATGCACCCAGCTGCTTTGTAGCGGAGTTGTGTCAACAACTCGTACATATATAAAGACCCGATCTAGAGAAATCCCAGTGAAAAGGGTAGCAATTTTAGGCTAGAACGTAATACCATTAACAGAAAGAACTCAAAAAATACCTCTCACGATGAGATAATGTGATACAGGCCAGGAGGAGCTAATTCTAACGCGTAACAGGAGCCATTATTGAGAGCGGTTATTCAATATTGGTCTTGGGTTCCTGGTCTCTGGTTGGCGCCTGATAAACGAGAACAAAAAATCGGATAAGGAGTATGCTGGCGATCTCTCATGGTGTCATGTATAGCATAACAAACAAACAAAAGAAAATGGAATCCATATTGCTCCACGACTGAAGAAGAGAACAACAACAGAATTATCATCATTGAGCAAGGCCAGGCCATGTCAAGGGCAAGGGAGCTGCACACCTCAGGAGCGCCAGCATTGTCAATGACAAGGAAACCACGCATTGGATCAAATCCAATTTTCTCCTGTCTGCACAACAAATATTGGTGGCAACTTATTCGAACCACAATCATACATGGAAACCTGATAGAGGTGAAGTACAGAGCAAAGGCCCGGCGTAGCTCTGAACTCGCTTGTTAGCGTCCCGGAGTACACCAAGGGCAGTGTAGGAGCCAACGGGTGGCGTGTGGGCCAATTTGAAGACATCTCCTCTCCAAATAAAAGGGCGGGGGCTTCATATTATATCGGTAATTGTGGGCCAAGACCTCACCCACGTTGCCCCTTTGGGTGGGTCCCACCCAAACGATATTTTCATCGCAATGATATTTTTTCAACTATTTTGTACTACCTATGTGGGAAAAGTCCCAATAACCTCATCTATCTATAGTAAAAAGCTCATTATCTACATCCTCAGTACCTTCTTCATCTGAATGATTCAAAATATTGGCAATCAGAGCTTGTTCAGCTGCCTGTGTGCCTGGCGCTTGTGCAGCTGCTGCAAGCTCTTGTTGTATTCAATTGATGGATTTCCGCATATCTTCTGCTTTACGCTCTGCAATGTGGCCTTTGGCATTATTGACAGTCATCATTCCTCCTATATTATCTGTCTTCGCGATCTTTTTTCTTTTTGATGTTGATGAGCTGTAAGAAGTCGATTGAGATCCCACTCACATTGAGTGTTGAGTTTTGCCTGTATTAAGCTCTTTGTAAATATATTCTGAAGACGATGACTCAACTTAGAAGAACTGTCATTAAGATAGTTCTCAATATCCTCCAACGTGTCTTTTGCCTTTGTAATATTATGTCGGAGATCATGTATATTCTTTGATGAGGATGCCACTGGAGATGATGACTGTAATTCTGCACTCTTGTTGTCATCCCAAATCTGTAGATCTGGAACAGCAGGAAGGCGGGCCTCTAATTCATCAAGAACAAGGTCAGAGTTATAAGAAAGAATTCCACAGCTAGAGAAGCTGTGTTTAATAGTGGCTGATTTGAATGCATCTTTGCAGATTGTGGGTAGATTATATAGGAATTCTCACTTGTCAAATTGTTGAAATCCTTCACAGGTTGCTTGATTGACTGCTTTGGCATGGAAGTGCTTATATTGATGAAAGGGTAGACCATCCAGAGGTTGTAGAATATGTGTACTGTGAGGAGAGAAGGTGTATAATATGATGTTGTTTTTGTTGCAATAAGTAATGAATTCGCAGGTTAGATGAGAGCTATGATTATCTGCAAGAAGAAGTCTATATCCACCAATCTGTTGTTTTTTTGAATAGTGATCAAAATGAAGCAGCCATTGATACCCAATCTCATCATTTGTATAGCCAGTAGGAGAGGTAGTTAGAAGCCAGGAATCAGGGAGGTTTGTAAGTGTAATCCAATCCTCCAATAGATTCTTACCCCACAAAATCACACAGGGTAGAAGAACCTCTTCATCTGTGGATATACACTCTATTACTGTGTTCAATGACTGTGAAAAGAATGAGGATAGAACTGCATTTGTCTTTTTAAAGGCTGTAATGACTCACTCTGCACGTCCTTGGCCCTCTTGAAATCCAATCTCATCCATATTGTAGCAATCCGCGGGTAGAATGCTGTATTGCTTCATTGTGATCTCCAATCTGTCAAACCACACCTTTATAAGCCCAATATCCTCTGCAGACACTCGTTTTGGACCCATTGAACACTGTGTAATTTGCTCATAATCATCAAGGCATTTGATGAATCTATAGGGCCAGTTGTGGCCAACAGTGGGAGGAGGATTTGCAGGATCTGTATGACACTCTGCAAGGATTGAATTCGCATATTTTTGAATCACCTCAATGGTGGGGGGTTGACCAGCCTTATCCAACTGTGCAATCCATGCTTTTAAGGCCTCCTCTTGCGCGGAATCCAATAAACAATTGATTGGCTTGTTCTTTGTTCATGGGTTGACTCCCTGGATCCTTCTGCAGAGGGCTTGATAGCTGACCTTATATTCACACAACAGAGGTTTGATTTTTTGAGTTGTATCGCATTTATAGGCGTCTACTGCCTCTAGAATGTGATCTTCAGTGATTTGACAAAATTTAGTCATATTGTGGTTGAGATATTAATATTTGAATAATAATAGTATGGAATATGAGGAATAATTGAAAAATATCATTGCGATGAAAATATCGTTTGGGTGGGACCCACCCAAAGGGGCAACGTGGGTGAGGTCTGGGCCACAATTATTGAATTAAAAGGTGTTCCCCAAGCCTTTCGGCGGTACAGGAGTTGGGGGATGGGTTGGTTGAGCCCAGGTCCGCCAGTGCACGTGATCAGCAGCCTCCACAATCATCTCATAAGGTTATTGTGGGATGGTTAGGGCAAAAGAGCTCAATCACCACCAGCGCCGTGGTGGTATAGGGGTAATCACGTGCGGTGGAGGGCCGCCTGGGCAACTAGTGCCCAACAGTTATGAGCCCAGTTGGCATGGTTTTGAGAAAAGCTTCACATTTTGATTGAGGATATGCTGCGATAGACTACACTAGAAGAGTTCGACATCAATATGTTGAAAAGACAGCTCATTGCACATAAAGCAGCCAGTGTATTCCACAGGAATACGAGTTAACGTGGAACTAGAACAGGAAGGTGATCGCATTCTTGAAGGAATCGAAACCTCTATTTTATCGATTGGTCAAATGAGCGGTTCGTGATTACCACTAATTCCGCGATCGGATCGCAAGAAATCCCTACGTTCTCATTCAGGCACCATTCACGAACAAGAGTGCAATCAGGAATCCAGCTCAGAGGAAGACGTGGTGGAGACCTCCAGCTCGGGCCGCGATACTGGCAAAATTCTGCCAACAGATGATGATTGCGGCGCGTCAGGATTGGGGTAATGGTAGGCCTCTAGTAGACCAGATATAGCTCGCCATGTACTGTACATAGTTGCATACAATCAATCAACTTTCAATCTCCCACCTCCATCATAGAAGAATAGCCATTCTACAGAATGAAACTAAGGTCAGGAACGGCAGAGATCTAGCCTAAGGCCTAAAGCACTATAATGAAGTTGAAAGCTTATCGGCATATACCGATGCTTCTATATTTAAATTATTTACTAGTATTTAGATGATTGAATGAGGCAGATGTCGCTTAAAACAGGATGGAAACGAAACAAATAACGGCGATTAAATTATAATATATATATATATATATAGAATACGCAATCAGTGGACAGTTCGGCGCAGATGGGTGCCTGTTGCTATTTACTAGCATAAAATGGCGGGTATCTCTTTTGAACAGGTAAATCAGTCCCTTTCGCACGGAATGTAGATATACTGTACAGTGACTTATTATACGGAAAAAGGCATATCGCTCAACATTTTAAGTAAAGCTGGTTTGATCCATTTTTTCTTGTACTTTTAAACTCCTTTCGCAGCCTGGAGAATGACATCCGAAGCTTTCTCGCTGATCATATAGATAGGAACGGCAATGTAGAAACCGGGAATCTTAGGGAAGACAGAGGCATCAACAACGCGCAGGCCCTCAACGCCACGCACGCGGAAATTGGAATCCAGTACAGCCATTGGATCATTGTCAGCGCCAATTGGACATGTGCAGGACGCATGGTGACCCCACGCCTCCATCT